ATTGGCATAATCGGACCCCTGCCACGCCCACAAAACGCCGTTAATTAAAACCTATAAATTTCCATAATTAAGTCGCAAGTTAAGATACTGTAATTTAGTTCAACGAATTGAAATAATTAGAGGCACCTGTGGGCTAAAAAATTTTTAAAAGTGGACGTGGCCCCACACCCTAATAAGTTTAATGTATGTATCTCCAAAACTCTTAAAGCTATATCACCCAAATTTGGACAGAACATATCATTTCGACATTTCTTGCAGCTGCATGTAAATATAATAGATGAAATCGGATGATAACCACGCCCACTCTCCATATAATGGTTTTGTTAAAAACCACTAAAACTGCGCTAAATCAATAAATAAATACGTTAAAGGCATTAAAATTTACATCAAAATTGGACAATGGCCGTGGCACCACCCACATTTAGGGCGAAAATGCGCGAAATCGGACAGTAACTACGCCTACTTCCCATATAACACAACTTTAAATTCGATCTTATTTTTTCATTTACTAGTATACAAATCAAGTAGTAAATAATATATCGGGATACAAATTTGCACGAATATTTCCTTTAAGGTATGCCATCTCAGGTCTATAAATTGTCAAAATCGGACCATAACCATTCATCGGGGAAAATGTTTTTTTGATAATAATATTGCCTTGTGCCAAAATAGGTTAAATCGGATCAGTACTTACCTTAGCCCCCATATAATAATATATTGTAAGCGTGATTTTCTAATAACAGTGTATCATTGTACCTAAAATGGAAAAAAATCGGTCAAAAACTTGCCTTAGCCCTATATAACTGATATTCACGATTTTGAAACGTTTGGCTGATTTTACTACATATATATGTCTATATTTATATATTTGTAAAATTGGTGGAAAATAAGTTTCCACGTATACCTATGCCTCCAATGTTTTTAGTATAATTTTCTGACGGGAAGTAAACTATACTAATAAAACTAAATGAGTATATTACCTTAAAAATTATACCAAATTTGATTGTAATTCATTCGCCATTTCGTCGAACAATGAAGTTGAACATTTTCGATACATTTTCGCATAGAAAAGTTTGCCAACACCCGAAGGTATTTTTCCGGCTTTGATCCTAGCAAGTTGCAAGATTATAAATTGTTCGGTTACACCCAAACTTAGCCCTTCTTTACTTGTTTCTAGTATATTGATGTCAGTTGAGTAAGGCGCCCACTGCAGTGTGAATCGGTGCTATATCGCATAGTGCAAAGTTCCAAACAGATTTTTAAAATGGAGAAAAGCAGTTTATAGTACATTTTTATACGCGTTTGCAATACATTAGTATTCAAAAATTGCGAAAAAGTATAATATTTCACTTGGACTAATTATTAAAATATATATAGGGGTCAATACGATTTGGCAAAATTTTTACTTTGTTAACTTCTGCCTTCTTAGTTTCGAACGTCCGCGTTCGACAGCCAAGTGCTTGGAAAGTATTATTTAGGCAACTGGGAGAATTTAACGTAAGGAGTACTTTGACTAAGCTCTACACTCCTCTTCCGTAACGTAAGCTTTTATTTATGAAAAATATTGACATATTCTTTGACAATTGGGTTCATTTCTTAGATTGATGGTAGCCGATGTTTATTCGCCTCTGCGCAATCAAGTGGTGTATTTTTATACTCTCGCAACATGTTGCTACAGAGTATAATAGCTTCCTTCACCTAACGGTTGTTTGCATCACCTAAAACTAAACGAGTTATATTATATATAGGGTTATATATTATATATATATAAATGATGAGGATGAAGAGACAAATTGAAATCCGGGTGACTGTCTGTCCGTCCGTTCGTCCGTCTGTGCAAGCTGTAACTTGAGTAAAAATTTAGATATCTTTATAAAACGTGGTACACATGTTTCTTTGTACCATAAGACGGTTGGTGTTGGGCGTAATCGGAACACTGCCACGCTCACAAAATGCCATTAATCAAGAACAAATAAATTGCCATAACTAAGCTCCACAATAAGATACAATACTGTTATTTGGTGCACAAGATCGCATTAGAGAGGGGCATATGCAGTTTCAAATTTTTTTTAAAAGTGGGCGTGCTTCCGCTCCCTAATATGTTTAATGTGCATATCTCCTAGGCCGCTACAGTATAATAATAAAATTCACACAGAAGAAATGTTTCTGGCAGCTCTATCGACAGTGTGAAAGTGGGTGAAATCGGGTGACAACCCCGTCCACTCACCATATAACGGTACTGTTTAAAACTACTAAAAGCGCGATAAATCAAGCACTAAATACGCCAGAAACATTAAATTGTATCTATGGTATGAGATGGTTTTATAGGAATCGCGTGCAATATTAGACAGTGGGCGCGGCATCGCCCACTTTTAGGTGAAAAACCATATCTTGGAATCTACTCAACCGATTTTAACCAAATTCGTTACATAACATTCTATTAATATTTCTATATTATAGTGTATATAGAAATCGGACTACAATCACGCCTGTTTTCCAAACCGCACCCATAACACCATTTTAAATTCCATCTGATTCTTTTACTTTCCACTATGCAAATCAAGCATTTTATCGGGGTAAAATGTTACGTGAATAATGAGTTTAAATTATGCAACCTTGTGACCAAAAATTGTCTAAATCGAACCGAAACTGTTCAAGTCTCTTTTTACCGTTGACTTTTTACCGATAATATCGGTCAATGTGTGAGATATATAATTGAAATTCATATAATAAACTAAATAAATGAAACTCTCGATAACATTATGTTTTTGTGTCAAAAACGTGTTGAATCGGATCAATAGTTCCTTTAATATAAATTTTTGCCTTAACATCTGAAGTAATTTCCCGAACTTAGAACTTCATAACATAACAACAATAACTATTATTCTTACAAGTAGTTCTTATTCTAAATGCTTTTTTTTAATGTACCATATATGAAGTTAAAATATTGACCTTTGCTCAGTTAATAACATAAGCTATGTATGTTTAGTAATTTTTTTCTTTTACAATTTCAACCATAAAATTTTTTGAAAACAAAATTATTTTCTATTATTTATTACTTAATTTTGTAATTTTAATGTATACTTTTTGAAGTATATAGAGTTATACATTTTTTATTTAAAGCTGTTTATGAACAGATTTACTTTAATTAGTGCGGACAGCACTATTACTTCTTTATATTGTAAATCTAGTTTATTTCCTAATCTTCTAATATATTCATATAAATTGTGACACCTATCTCGTAATTAATCATGGGCGTTTTGCTTTTTGTTATGATGGTTTAAGTCGGTTTCTGTTTTTCTCTTAACCATTTCTTGCCTATTGTGCTTGTTTGCCAAAGAAAAGCTCGAGAGGTTTTTTTACCGGTTGTAAAATAGATTTAATTGTTGTACGCGAAAATTGATTTATTTAGGAGTTCTACAAACGATTCATGTGTATTTTCTGATTTAAGGCATCTTGACCGTTTGAACAGCTTTTGTAGGGTGGAGCTTTGCAAATCTCTATATTGAATTGATTAGTCAGCATGAACGTGACTGGAATTAATTGACTTTTCACTGTCGAACATAATCCCTTTTGGCATTTTTAATGAAATTATGATGTCTCTAAGAGGTTGTTTCAAATCCTCGTCGCTATGTCTAGGGTACTAAGGTATTGGTGTACATTGAATAGCGTGTTTAACGGTTGACGTTCATATTTATTAAACTTACATTTTTTGCATTGTTTTAAAAAATGTTCGACCTTGGCTTATATTTGTGGAAAATAAAACTTTTCTAGAATTTGCAACTTGTTTTCTTCGCTATTTCGGTGGTTACGATTGTGTTCGGTAATAAGTTCTTTATTTTGATCGGCTGAATTTGTTAAATCTAATTTTCTAGTGAACCGTATTTTGTATTTGTTGAAACGAAGGGCATAAATATCTTGTACTATACTGCTTAGAGGACATCGAAATTAATATAATGGGTATATATTCCCGTATTTATATCGCAGCAATAGCGTATTTTGATTCGCCCGTCGTTTTTTATTATAATCGGGGTAAGATAGCATAACGTCTTCTGAGATAATTTTTTACGTTTTGGAGAGAATATTTAATCTTTTGGAAGGCACCGGTGGATCGTATACTTATTTAAGATACAATAAAACCAAGGAATTCGACTTCTGTTTACAAGGATTCACATTTGTCGATTTGCACTTCTATATTAGCGTTTCAGATGGTGCATCCATTGAGTCCAATTTTCGATGACTCGTTCTATCACTTCGACTGGTAACTGGCGAAAAACACGCGTGGCGTTTTTCTCTAAGGCCTGAATCGGAGCGGGATTGTCCGCATAGACTTCAGACTTTACATACCCCCACAGGAAAAAGTCTAGCGGTGTGATATCACACGATTTTGGTGGCCAATCGACCAGCCCAAAACATGAAATTATCTGCTTCCCAAAGTGTTCTTTCAATAAATCCATTGATTGATGCGACCGTCTGGTTGAAAATGACGTCGAGGTCACGAGCTTCAATTTCAGGCATCAAATAGTCGGTTATCATGGCGCGATAACTTTCTCACCGGCATAATTTTTGAAGAAGTATAGACCGACGATTCCACCGGCCCACAAACCACACCAAACCGTTGTTTTTTCTGGATGCAATGGCAGCTCTTGAATCTCTTCAGGTTGCTCCTCGTCCCGAAAGCGGCAATTTTACTTGCTTACATACCCATCAGCGCGTAACACTTTGATTTATTGAGCGAACACTTCGGTGAGCAGATAATTTAGGCCAATCGTTCGGCCACCAAGATCGTGGGATATCACACCGTTAGACTTTTTTCAGTGAGAATATGTAAAATCTAAAATCTATTCCCACAATCCCGCTTCGATTCGAAGCCCAGGAAACCATGTGGCAGAATAGTTACAAACATATGGTATTCTATGAGTTTGACATTCATCAGCTGCTGCAAACAAGTTAAAACCAACTACAATAAAATAATTATAAAGCAGGAAAATGAAGCCAAGTTTCATATAACAGCAAAGAATCTTAAAAAAGAATCTTAAAATATTTTATTACCTGAGGAGGGAAATATTTTACTCTATCTCTACGGACATTAAAAAGGACGAAGCAATATAAAATATTGATATCCAGAAAACGGCTTTGCAACAACATTTTTTCCATTTTTTGGTTTGAATTTCTGATTTCGGCAGAAGGGCTTAATACATTACACAACACCACATTATTTCAATAGTTATTTGAACGCTATTGTAGTAGAGAATTACATTTGTTTTGGAACAAAAATTTAAAATACGGCTGACATACATATGGTTTCTGTAGCATACTACAAGTACAATATATATATGTCCTTGACATAATGGAGTAAAACGGCATTTAAAAAAGTTAAGCGTAGGTATTGTAATGCTTCATGGTGTACAATATTTTTCGTGTTTACTTCTGGAGAAAAAATAAATAGTAATATTGATGCAACGCTTAACTGCCCATGCGAAAAATACGGAAATTCAGGACCTATTCCACACACCTAACGATTGGCCTTGAAATGCATTATTTTCATTGCAAATAAAAGGCACACTGGAAATCGGACATTCAAAAGGAAAATCAGTTGGCATTAGTGAAATTCTTCAAATGATTAAATCCTTTCTTTTGAACTACTCTATGATTGTAGTAGCTTCAATGAAGTTTTTCACAGACCCAATCTTTAGCTGAAAATTATGTGGTGGTAATCTTGGAAATTCCTATATATTTAAGAATTCATTTTAATAATTGCTATTTCATTTGGATCGATAATCACCTGACTTAAATTAATACATTAGTCCATTATTTCTAGTCTCAATTTTTATATATAAATCATCTACGTCCTTATTTTTCGCTTCTAAAATGGCTCGTTTGCTTTACCAGGCATGATTTCATATCAATATTTGGGAACACTTTCGATATTAATTCTTTATTTGACGAACTGGTGACGAAATGAGGCCAGTAGAACTGTCAACAGGAATTTTCCCATTGCCAATATTTAATAATGCATTTAAATCCTTTCCGCTGATAAGTCATTTTGTGACGTCTTTCGCATATTCGAAGTTTACTTGATATTCGATGTTTCCATCAACCAGATATTTCATCAGCGATTGTTGGTCTGGTAATAACTCGCAACGTTTGACGAAAATCTCCTGCTAGTAAAATAATCGCACCTCCAAACAGGTTCTGTGAATTCAAAATTTTTTTCAGTTCCGTTGGGTATGTCTAGAAACAAATTTTCAATTGCCGAAATTAACAGCTTTTATTTTATCGTAAGCTTTTTTTTCTGCATATTTAGCAGGGGAATTTTATTTCGTAAGGACTGACTCAAAGTATTTCTACCGTATTCATTTAAAATAATTGTATTCATCAACAATTAGTGTTAATAATGTTCCTGCACGGTGGTGAATTAGTTTGCTAATCTGTAATATTAAATTTAAGAAATTATCAAAAGAAATTCACATTCATGAAGTTTGTCACAGAATAAAAACCAACCCACGTTCTTCTATTATAATAATAATAATAACCCAACGATTACCCTCCTCCCGCCCAACCGACGCGAGGAGCGCAATCCGCATACGTGCGGAATCAGCCGAGTCAGAAAAGGCAAGAGAGTTTTTTAAGTGTTGAGATCTTATACTGCTCAGCTACAGAAACAAAAATTTCAACAGCTAAGATCTAAAGTTACAATATAATAAATTGTTACATTTTCATTTATTAAGAGAAAACAATAAAGTCTTTTTAATTTTGAAAAGTGAGTCAGATAAGTCAAATGTGCTGGAATGAGAATTAAAATCATGACATATACGGCGGAATGGCTCGTTTAGTTCAAAATTTGATCTACAGGATTTTAGCAGTAAAGGTCTAAACTGCCTCGAAAGGCGAACCGGGATATTAAATTTAATTTCAGACAGGAGAAAAGAACTGCAAACACTTCCATTCAAAAGTTTCACTAAGAATATTATGCCAAGCATTTCCCTACGACTAGAAAGTGTAGGTAGATTAATAAGTTTTAAACGACTAGTATATGGAGGTAGACTTATCCTAGCATCCCATCTTAAATGCGCTAAGGCGAAAAGTAAAAATTGTTTTTGAACCGACTCTAACTTGTCAGAATGGATTTGGTAGCTAGGGTTCCATACCATGGAGCCATATTCCAATATAGGTCTAACCAAAGTTGTATAAAGTGTTTTAGTAATATACGGATCTCTAAATTCTTTAGACCAACGTTTAACAAAACTGAGGACAGCTTTTGCTTTCAAGACCATGGTATCAATATGAAGACTGAAATTAAGCTTAGGGTCCATATTAACTCCCAAATCAACATAGTTAAAAACTTGCTCTAGAATATGGTGTTTTATTACATAAGAAGAGGGGTGCACAGATCTACGGGAAAAGCACATCGTCTTACATTTATTGAGATTCAATGGCAAATAATTTCTATCACACCATGCAACCAAATTGTTTAAGTCTGTTTGCAACGAGACACTTTCTCAGTTGAAGTGTATGATTTAAAAAGCTTTACATCGTCAGCGTATAATAAAATTTTTGAGAATTCTATTACTGAAGAGATATCGTTAATAAACAACAAGAACAGAATCGGGCCAAAATGACTACCTTGCGGAACACCTGAAAAAACATTAATTTTATTTGAAGGTGTATCCTCAAATATCACTCGTTGTGTTCTATTATAAAGATAGGAAGATATCCATTGAAGGAATCTTGGCTGAAAGCCCAGCAGATCAAGTTTATGTATGAGAATCGAGATATTTACTTTATCGAAAGCTTTGCTAAGGTCTGTGTATATAACATCCGTATGCTTATGTTTCCTAAAACCCAATGATACATGGTTTACAAATTCAAGTAAGTTTGTTATAGTCGAATTTCTTTTACGAAATCTATGCTGAGATGAGGAAATTAACGGAGAAATCGAAAAGGTTATATGGTCAGTGATGATAGCTTCAAAAAGTTTAGGTATAACTGATAGTTTTGCGATACCTCTATAGTTTTCAATGTTGGATCTAAATCCACTTTTATGCAAAAGGATTATAAATGACTGTTTCCATATTGAAGGAAATATACCGTGTTTAAGAGAGGAATTAAATATCCTTGTCAAGGGCAAGTAAATATATTTGTCACTATTTTTTAGGAAGCATAAGGGTATCATGTCTGGGCCATAACTAAAAGATGGTTTTAACTTATTTAAATTAAATAGGAAGTCGTCTTCAGAAATAATTGGAGCGTTAATTAAAGTATTCGAACACAGCACTTGCTGATAAGAAAAAGTTTTGGAAGAATACAGTAGTTTGACTTGAAAAATTCTGCAAACATATTGGATATAATATCATTGTCACTTGAAATGATAGATTTGTATTTCATTGCGGACGGAAATTTGGAAATATTGCGTTTGGAGTTGACGAAATCATAAAACGATTTTGGATTACTTACAATATTTTTTTTTACTTTATTTAAGTAATTATTATAACATTTTTTGTTTAGGTCAAACTATTGTCGACGCAATAGAGAATATTTAGAATAGTCGACAAGTGAACCGGTTTTTTTAAAATGTTTAAAGGCTCAAGTTTTTCTGTTTTTCAATTTATATAACTCTTTCGAAAACCACGGACTTATACTTTTGCTTTTATTAACAATTACTATTGGAACATACTTTTCAAATAATTTAAATAATGTTATTAAAATGAGAGACACTCAATTCAATGTCACCATTATAATTAGGCCATGTTATAGTAGAAAGTTCTGTATTTAACTTTTTAAAATTAGCTTTTGCAAAGTTAAAACGCGTACAGAAGCACGAAGTTTGTGATTATTATCCGTACAATGCCTGAGATCTCGACAGATATTTCCAAAGCAGGATGATATGAGTCCTCTGGTAGAACAAGAGGATTACTCTGAATAACGGAACACTTTGCAGAGGTATCAACGTATACTAAATCTAAGCATTTACCAAATTTATTCGGAATCAAATTAATTTGGTTCAGACCCAACTCGGACATTTTTCGAAAACATCATTAAAACATGACCGATTGCAAATCGGCACGATATAATCATCGAAAGGTTTCCACGAAGTACACGGTAATTGAAATCACCCATAACAATTATTTAATCTGCATTATTTGCCATCAGGTAGCACTATTTATTAAAGAAGCATGCTGCATGTAGTTTCCACAGTCTAATGTTCCGTAAAGGTAATTTGTTTAGACTACATCGTTGCAGTCATTTCCGCAACTTAGCAAAATATAAAAGACGATATCCGATACTTCCACTTGTGGAATCGAGTCATAACAAACAATTCAAACCGTGGGAATCGCTGAGTCAACATACCCACTGGCGAATACTAATAACAAACGTAACAGCAGCGACGACAGCGGCGACGACGGTGATGGCTGTAGCTTAGGATAGAAATAAGTTAGGGTAGAATAGTTAGTTTAAGAACAGACTCAATAAGGCATACAAGTGCCCAAATTGCGCTCTAATAGAGAAACGTATAGAGTTTTGCTGGTGGTCTAATTTGTAGTTTCGTGTTCGCAACGATTTGATGAGCGATAGTGATCTTGAGGGTTTATTGGAAAAGATCGGTTGTTTGCAGATCGCAAGGAATAGAAATATAGGTGTAATGGACGCAAACCAAATAACCGCTTTAGTACAGGCTGCCGTAAAAGGCGCACTGCAACAGAAACAGGAGTCCTTTGAACACAAATTGACACGACTGACAGAGCAAATTGCCACTTTAACCACAGTAAAAAAGCCACATACTTACGAGCCTGTGAAAATCATTGCAGGCATTAAATGTGAAGAACCTTTAGACCTGGTGAAGTCATTGCCAGAGTTTGACGGTCAAGTCAGCAACTTCGTTTCCTGGCGTCAGGCCGCCCACACGGCTTACGAGGTGTTTCGAAACCATCAGGGCAGCTCTAGGCATTATCAAGCCGTAGGATTAATTAGAAATAAGCTAAAGGGCTCCGCTGATGCCGTTTTAGCATGTTTTAATACTGTACTGAATTTCGAGGCGATCATTGCCAGATTAGATTTTACCTATTCGGACAAGCGTCCAATATATCTCATAGAACAGGAACTTTCTACGCTTCGACAGGGCAACCTGTCAGTCCTGAAATATCTCGACGAAGTGGAGAAGAAGCTAACTCTTCTCACAAATAAAACCATAATGACACATGAGGGTCCCATTGCGGAATCAATCTGCACAAAGTATAGAGCAGACGCGCTTAGGGTATTCATTTCTGGTCTAAAAAGACCATTGTGTGACATTCTCTTCGCTTCTCGACCTGATGACTTGCCGGGTGCTCTCGCCCTGGCCAGGAGGTCGAGGCAAATAGAGAACGATATTGTTCGTTACAAACTTCGCTGCGTCTGCTGAAGATCCAAACAGATTTAAGAAGATCGGTGATAACTACTTAGAACGAGATTGCTAATCCCCAAAAAATCCAATTTTTCAATAGACAGCCGAAAAGGAACGGCAACGAAAATGATCAACAAGATCAACTAGCACCAATGGAAATAGATCCATCAGAATCACGGTTTCGCCATAATTCAAATTGGCGTCAGTCACAAAAGTAAATCAACAGGTGTACCGAAACAATTCCAAACAGAGCTCTTACTCTAACCAACAACAATTTGGAAAGCGACAGGCAGAATCAGGTAGGAATACTGGACCTAAAATCCAAAGAATAAATAATTTAAGCTAAGGTAACCAAGGCACAGCCTACAATCAAGAGGCGGAAGAAGAAATAGAAAATCTCGAAGAGGAAGAACTAAATTTTTAGGGGAAGTCCCTGCTTCCGTGGATCGAACGAGGAGTAGGGAACCAAAGGAATAAAATAAAGCTATTAGTGGACACAGGGGCGTCTAAAAACTATATTAAACCTTTGCCCGAGTTTAAATTTTATCCCAGCATCCACACCTTTCTGGTTAAGTCACTGACGGAAATAGTCATGTGAATAAGAAAAGTATAGTCAAGTTATTTGGTGAATGGGCAGATTTCTTCTATTGCCTAATATGGCAACGTTCAATGGTATTATGGACTGGATCTATTAAAACGGGGTAAATGCTCAAATAGATCTGAGTAGTGGAGTAATACGACACGATTTTGAAAACAAAAAATTGTTGTTCCAGTGCGTGAATGTAAATTTCATTGATATGAGAGTGAGGAAATTCCTTCTGGTGTCCGAATATTTCCTTAAGATGATGGAGAGTAGGAAGAGGGCCTTCGCAGACCCAATGAGTCCTCCCTTCATACAAATATAGTTGCTACTATAAGAACAAAAAACAAAGAGCCGATATATCTGGCTCTACCCATACCCTATGAGTGTGGCCGAATTCGTCAAC